CCCTTCTATATTCGCTGCTGCTTCGTTCTTCGCTCCCTTGTGATTTCCAAACGCGTTTTACACCGTGCACCCACTTTCTGCCCACCCTTACCCCTTCTCCCCATCCCTCACCTTCCTTCCCCTCTCCCTCTGTCACCTCTCCCCTCTCCCGACTCCCCTCCCTCCCTGCCCCCTCTCGCCCCCGTCGCAGTTTTTCGCGGTCAACGGGTGACGGGGGGGCAGTGCCAGTGAACGTGGCGGGGAGCAACTACATGGTGTGGGCCTACTCTGCTGACGGCACTGCCACGCTCGACAACCACGGTGGCGACAACCGGTACTGCTGCAAAAACTCTACTGCACCCAAAGCAGCCCACCCCCATGTGCCTCCACCGTTTCTCACATGTGCGCACGCACCCGTCCGTCACCCGAACCTCACCTCCCCCTCCCCTCCCGTCCTCTCCCCTCCCTTCCCCTCCCCTCCCCTCCCCTCCCCTCCCCTCCCCTCCCGTGACCTCCCATTCCGTCCACCAGCGGCAGTCGCAGCATCGACTTCACATGTGATGGCACCAAGGTGGCGTCCATGTGCCCTGCCTCCACGGTCACAGGCTTCGACTACCAGACCAACCTCGGGGGCAACAAGTGAGTACACACACACACACACGCACGCATGCAAGCGCGGCGCACACGCACGTCCCAACCTCCCTCTCCATCTGCTCTCAAAGCCCATAGCTTCTCCTCTTCCATTGCCCGATCCATGGAAATCCTCTCTCGCTGTCCGTTACTTCTTCTCCTCCTGATCCCCTTAGATTTCTACCTCCTGCTTCCGCCCCTCATACCACCATCGCCCACACTAAAAACCTCTCCCACTCGTTTCCCAACCCTCCTCTCCCTCCTCCCCACCACATCTCCCTCCCCCACCCCCACCCCCACCAGCCTCATCATGCACTGGAAGGCAGCAGCAGCATCCGCCATAGATTTCGCCCTGGAGGCCAAAGGCACGGTGGCCAACGGATGGGTGTCCATGGCAGTGGGGGCGAGCTCGCGCATGGCGCCCTCCGATGCCGTCATTGGCAACCTGGCGGGCGGGGCCGTGGGCGCGTATGCCATCACCTCGACCAGCGCGTCAGGGGTCAACCCGGGGAGTTTCTCCATTGGTACTGCAGCCACCACCACCTCTCCGTCCGGGTCCACACTTGTCACGTGAGTGGGTTGAGGGAGTTTGTAGGAGGAGAGCCTCTCTTGCCGCCATTGGCAACCTGGCGGGCGGGGCCGTGGACGCTTATGCCATCACGTTGGTCGACCAGTGCAGAGGGGGTGGGGAGGGGGGGGAGGGGGGGGAGGGGGGGGAGGGTGAATCCCGACTCTTTCTCTATTGGCACTGCTGCCACCACCACCTCTCCGTCGGGCTCCACGCTTGTCACGTGAGTTGGTTGAGAGGTTGCTGAGATAGCCTTTCTTGTAGAGAGTTACCGCTGCTAGATTGACGGGAAATGTGTTCTGCCCCGCTGCCAGCACCACCACCACCTCGCCGTCCGGCTCCACGCTTGTCCCGTGAGCTTCCCAAGGTTCCCTGCTGTGGCAGATTCACGGCCTTGGCATTCATAGCCTTGATTTGGCAGTCTTGAGTTTTGGCAACTCCGCTGCCCTAGCAGCAGCTGTAAATGCTTGGAGCCCCTGAGCCGCTGCTTTCCTGAGTGAGCAGAGAGTCGCATGTCACAACCCCCCCCCCCAATTCCACGCACAAGGCCTCAAACTTCCAGCACTCCCCGTTCTCTCTCCATGCAGCATGCGATGCCATACCCATGCCTCGCTCCCCCCTTCCCTCCCGCCCTCCCCACGGCACATCAGCTTCACGCGCACGCAGGGATCGGGGCGCATCAACGTGAACGGCGTGAGCAACATCCTGTGGGCCTACTCCGGCTCGCAGTCCCAAGCCCTCACCACCCACGGCGGCAACAAGTACGTTGGTTGCTGGTTTTGGTTTGGAATGAGAGAGGGGGGGAAGGGGGCTGGGAAAGGATGGGAACGGCGTGAGCAACATCCTGTGGGCCTACTCCGGCTCGCAGTCCCGAGCCCTCACCACCCACGGCGGCAACAAGTGCGTTCCGGCTGAGGGGAAGACAGGGGGGGCGTGGGCAGGGGTGGAAAGAGAGGGTGCATGAGCTGGGTGCGGGGATTGGGATGTGACGGGATGGAAGGAATAGGGCTGTCCGCACCCCACCCCACCCCACCCCACCCCACCCCACCCCACCCCACCCCACCCCACCCCACCCCACCCCACCCCACCCCACCCCACCCCACCCCATGCTATCCCTCCAACAGCCCGCTTCTCGCTCTTTCCCTCTGCCTTCACCATTACATTCCTTCCTCCGCCGTCGCTACAACAAAGCTCCCCCAAACGCTCTAGAGATGCCTCCCAAGCGCCTCCCAATCACCTCTCTTACTTGTCCCAAACGCGGTGCTTGCCATGTCATGGGTCATGGGTCATGGGTCATGGGTCATACTTTAGGAGGTCGCCACTGGTGGACCTGCCGTGCCGCACCAAGCCCGAGTGCGTGCAGCGCATGACTGCACTCTTCTCACACTCACTCCATCCTTGTGTATCCCTTGCATTGCCTTGCGTTGCCTTGCCATGTGCTGCTGCAGGGGGTCGCTGCTGGTGGACCTGTCGTGTCGCACCAAGCCCAAGTGCGTGAAGCGCAAGATCCTCTGGTGGAAGTGCAAGCGCAACGGGGGGGGTGATGATGATGACGATGATGATGATGACGACAATGATGATCACCACGACAGGCGCCATTGAGACGGAGGACAGAGGGTTGAAAGACATCGCCACCATTGGCAAAAAGGACTGATCTTTTCTCAGGAAGCCTTTTTTCCAATGGTGTGCTGTGGTGTGCTGTGGTGTGGTGTGTTGACAAACGTGCCTGATTCCTTCCATCCCTGCTGGCTGGTTGGTTTGGTGTGGCATGTGTAGACGTTTGTGTTGTGTTGCACGCAGTGAAAACGGGATGTGAAGAGGGTCAATCCCTTATTGACCGGATCGGTTAATGGCGCTGATAGTGGAATTTCTCACTGGCGGTCGAAAAGACTACAGGGTTGCCCCCCCCCCCGCGCAAAAACACACTGAAGCACTCCAGTTCATCAACAAACAGCGATGTTTAAGGCATATGGCACTGGTATACCATCTGTTGTAACACTGATTCATCGCACTGTCGGCTGTTTTTGCAAGAGTGTCACCCCCAGTGCATTGGCCTTCAAGGCGCCTCTCGAAAGCAGCCCCCTGCGTCATCCAAGGCCTTCCAGTCAAATCCAGCGAAGTATCCTGGTCCTTCCTTGCTCACCGGGATCAGCAACTGAGCCATTCACATCACACCTGTGGTTGCATTAAATTGATTTGTCTGTCACCTGACACACACACATGGTACTACTAGGTGCTGCTATTCACCCTTCCCCCTTCCCCTGAAAACGTGGTTCGGGGGACTACCGTACGGGTACCTTGATTTCAAGCGGTGTGTCGACACACACTCGAAAAGCACTGTCCGCAAGGCTTGAGCACATAGATTTAGTGCGTTTTGATCGCATGCAGATAAATTAGAATCAAATACGGTATGTGATTAGCCGTATCCTACTACAACTTAAGGTACCGTATAATGTAGAATTTATAACCTAGTAAAAGACATGGCATGCGTTAGTGCACACCAAAAGTATATCCTCCCAGCTTACTTTGAACCCCATCCTCGGTGCACCAGGGTAAAGTAGCGTAGCGTATAACCAGCATCACTACACCAAAGAGCATCGACAAAATCGGTACTTACTGTACTCCGGCCAGGCGAGCGGAAGGGTGGAGCACGAATCATGAATGGAACAGCAAACGCAGCCGCAGCAGAGGCTGCAACAGACGTGGTGTGAGGTGACGGCAGAAACGGTGACGGATAGAAGCGGTGATGTGAGGTGCTGCAAAATGGAATTAGCGTGGGATGAGGTGTCCCCAACATCTACTGCACTACTGAGTCAGAAGTCCCCAACGAATACCGGATGGCAGCATGCCACACTGCATGCCCGTCAACACAAGGAGGTCAGCTACATGATAGGAGCTCAAGCCAAGGGAGAAGGGGAGAGAAGGAGGGCGCTGGCGGAAAGAGAAGGCGAAGGGAGGGGATTTAAGGCGGCCAGGGCCGGCAAGTACCAATGCACTGGCAATGGCCAGCCACATCACCTTACTCCTCCTCCACAGAACTGCTGTCTTCACTGGCATCCCCGGCACCATCCCCTCCACCATCCCCACCGTCATCCCCACCACCGTCCCCAACTTCGCCATTGCTACTACTTTGATTGCTATCAGATGCCAAGTCCGAATCAGGCGATGCTGCCGATTCAGCTTCCAAATCTCGATCCGATTCTTGTTCCGAATCTGATCCCGGCTCGAACTTCGACGTGCCGTCTGGTTCCAGTTCGGATTCCGAGTCTGGATTCGAATCAGCGTCAGGTTCTGGTTCAGCTCCACCCGGTGACGGTTCCTGTGCTTCCGTCTCCGCACCCTCCGACTCTTGTGGTGTTTCCAAAGCCTGGGATGCTGCCAATCCTTCTGATGCTTTAGATTCTGACGCTGACGACACCCGCGTCTTCATTGAGAAAGATGAGAGAAAAGAATTTGAGGGGGCGGAGACCGATGGGGCCGATACAGAGCCCACATCATAACCAGATGAAGGTGAAGACAGAGAGGACAATGTTGATGATGCAGGCAGAGCAGTGGCAGGAGCTGACAGAGACGGCACCGCAGTCTCTGCCTGTGTAGAGCTTGTCATGGCATCAGAACCGTTGCCGCTGCTAGTGCTATTCCCATTACCGCCGCCGGCGCCACCAGCGCCACTCCCGCCGCTGCCAGTGCTGCTGGTGTTGACGTCGATGCTGCGGGCTGCACACACCATGGAGCAGTTGCTAAGCCCCCCTCGCACCATGCGCCTCTCCCTGTGGATCATCTCGCGGATGGCTGGCAGCTTGGCTGCTACTCGCCGCCACACCTGGTTCACTGTGCCATCCTCCGCATCCCACTCAAAGAAGTGCCGCACCTGGAGCAAGGAGGGGCGAGGAAGGGCGACGGAAGGTCAGGAGGGCGAGAAGGGGCGGGAATAGTGGAAAGTGGATGGAGGAACAGGGAGAGGGACAGAACAACCTGGTTTACTGTGCCATGCTACGGATACCTTAAAAAAAGAAAAATCGCAGCACCTGGGTCGAGGAGCGGCGGGTTGATTGCGTGAGGGGTTTGGTGCACTACGGGCGTGTGGCACTACGGGTTTGATGTGTCTCTGTGTGATGCAAGCAGGTTCGAAGGTGGTAGAGCTCCTTCTCAGGTTCTGCATCTGCAGCGAATACAGAAATTAGGCGCATGATTTGCAGCCTTGCAAGGCGTGCATGCATTGATCCAACCCACCCTTCGCACGCTCTGCTTCTGCAGGGAATGCGAGACAGATGATCTGCAGGGAATGCGAGATAGGGCGCACCTCTCGCAGGCGCTGCTGCATGGCTGGCAGGCGGCTCTGCATCTTGCGACCCCTCAGCAGCTTGCCCAGATACCCCTTCCTCACCGCCTTCACCGTCGGTACAAACACCGCAAACTCCCTGCCTCACTCACATGCGCACACACCCACGCAATCACACACATACACAAACATGCAGATAACCACACCCACCCACGCACACGCACACGTACACACCCACACACACAAAACGCATGCATACAAACGCACAGGAGAAAAGGAGGAAGGGTCAGTAGCGGTAAGTGGTTTGGAAATATAGAGGACGGTCGTTAATTTGTGAGCACGAATATGAAACAGTTGCGACGCAACAGATCGAGGCGCGAGGTGTCTCAAAAGAATCTCACATGGGGCATGGGGCATCGGGGACTCAAAAGAATCTCACCGGTAGTCGAGCACGTCTTCAAAGGGCAGCTCGATGTCGTCGCTGACCACCACGGGCACGCAAAGGTTCACAATGGCGTCAAACATGCGACAGATGGAAGGGGTGTCCCCTGCAGCGTGCAGGCAGCTTCTGAGGCGCCTCAAAACTCACCGGTAGTCCAAGACGTCTTCGAAGGGCAGCTCGATGTCGTCGCTGACCACCACGGGCACACACAGGTTCACAATGGCGTCAAACATGCGACACGCCGACGGCGTGTCGCCTGCTGGATGCAGGCAGAACTGCGACGTGCGCATGCCCGCCCTGCATGCACACGGGACGGTTGAAAGATGGAGTCCGGGGGAGGAGGGGAGAGGAGCGGGGGAGAAAGGGGTGGTGGTGTTGGGACAACTGGATGTGGAAAGCAGGTAGAAGGCACAAGGGAGCGGGAGGGCAAGAGGAACGAAGGGTAGAGGGAAACGGGGAACCAGGGAAGCAGTGCTACACATCCATTCAGGGCCAACCACGTGCATCCACGTGCCGACCAGGAAGCAACCACGTGGGTTGAGCAGCGCTCACCGTGTGGCTCGTCCACCTTCCAAACCGGGCGTGCCGGTGTGTGTGCTCTCCCTTGAACTTGACGTCCACCTCCTGCCCCATCAACAACCTCAAGAGCTCATTGCACACCATGCCTCATGCCATGCCTTCTCCCTGCCATGCATGACTCATGCACGGGTGACTCTTGAGTTAACTCCAAACAAACTCACCGTGTGGCTCGTCGGCCCTCCACAGTGGGCGTGCCCTCCCTGAGTATCATGTCCGCCTCCTGCTCCAGCGACTTGAACAGCGCGTCGCGCACCGCCCCTCCCTGCCATGTTTGCATGTACGAGCGTGGCACCACACACCAGCAGCATCGCCAGTGAGAGGCGCAGCAGGAGGAGCGGGAGAGAAAGGGAAAAGAGAGATGCACAGCTAAGAGATGTGAACATGCTGAAGCATCTCCTCTCCGCGCCCTCTCCTTCATACCCCATCACCCTTTTCCCGTAAAAGTGCGACGTGGTCCTGCTGTGCAAGCCCCTGCGACCTCCCTCCTCCCATACGGCCCACGCCCACACCAACACCCATACCCACACAATCCACCACCACCCACACCCTGCACTCACACCCTTCCAGTATCGGTTGGTATCGGTTGGTATCGCTTGCCCATGAAGACTAGCAGCGTGGTCCTGTGGTCGTGCACGCCCCTCCAGCGCACGCCCACGACCAAACCCACGGCCACCCTCCACTACACCACCCACCGCCCGCACTCACGTCCTTCCTGTATTCGTTGCCCAGCAGCGTGGTCCTGTTGCCCTGCACGCCGCGACAACCTTCCCCCACGCACGCCCACGCCCTCACCTACACCAACACCCATACCCACACCACCCACCCCCTGGCACTCACGTACTTGCGGTATCGGTTGCCCAAGAAGAAGAGCGGCATGGTCCTGTTGCCATAAACACCCCGGCGACCTTCCCCAGTGCACGCCCACGCCCTCACCCACCACCACACACCTCTCCCCCTCCCCCTCCACTCACGTCCTTGCGGTATCGGTTGCCCATGAAGAAGAGCAGCGTGGTCCTGTTGCCGTGCACGCCCCTGCGACCTCCCCCTCCAACTCACTCCCATGCCGACGCCAACCCACCACCACCACCCACCCTCTACCTGCCACCCCCCCCTCCCCCCGCCCACTCACGTCCTTGCGGTATCGGTTGCCCATGAAGAAGAGCAGCGTGGTCCTGTTGCCGTGCACGCCGCGGCGGCGGTCGTCGTCCTCGTCCTTGGGCGAGTAGGTGGACACGCGGTGCACGTACGGCACCACCACGTCCTTCATCAGGTTCGCCTGCCACGCCGCCACCCGCCCAAAGTCCGACACCAGCAGCATCGCCCGCCGCAGCCGCGTCAGCACTGTGAACAGCGAGTTCGGGTCCTGCCAGCGGTGGTGGTCGGTGGTGGTCGGTGGTGGTGGGTGCGGGCACGTGGAGGGGAAGGGGAGAGGAAAGATAGATGCCTTTTGGAGGGGGAAGAGGGGGAAAGAATTCCAGAAAAGGGATGGAACCGCGGGCGGGGGTGGCGGGGATGGTTGAGTGAGAGGAATGCAGGGGAGGAAGGAGGGCGGGCGGATGCGAGAGGCAGCCACAGCCAAGTCAGCACGTGAACAGCGCCAGTTTCGGTGCTGCCCGTGCTGCGGGGAGACAATGGGGGAGGGGACCGGGAACAGGGGCACCAAACCACGTACCTATGGGCGCACCGAACCACGAGCGCACCTGCGCGGGGATGACATGGTCGCGGCCGCGGCTCCTGCGCCACGGCTCCTGGCGCTCGAGCCAGTCCATGAGGCGCTCCTGCATGGCCTTGTCGTCCCACGCATCGGCGCGCAGCTGGTAGTTGCGCACGAGCCCCAGCGGGTTGACGACGAGGCTGAGCGACGAGAAGACGGGCACGAAGAACACGTCCGCGTCTGACGGGTCCGTCACCCGCACTGCCGGGGAGTTGCGCCGCTCATGCTCTGGCGGAGGGCCGGGGGAAGGGATGTGGGTTGGGAGGGAGGAAGGCGCGAGACACAGTGAGAAGCAGAGAAGAAAGAGGGCCACGGGTAGGTGTCGGAACGATAGGTGGGAGAGCGGGAAAGGCGTGGAAAGCGGGGGTGGGAGGCAGAATCTTGCAAGTCATCCTCTCCGTCTACGTGTGCATATGGCGGCTGCTGTAAAGCACACGCAAGTGATGACTAAAGTCCACCAAGACAGCCCTTCAGAGGCAGCACTAACCTGGTTTAAGGAGGTCTCGCAGTAGCCACCACTCGCCACTGTGCTGATGTGCGGGATACTACACCAGGTAAATGAGGGGCGTGCAAGGTGTTTATGAAGGAGCGGAAGGTGTGGGGGAGGAGGGAGGGAACAGGGGGATGGGAGAGAAGAGTATCGGGGTTAGAAAGAGGACAGTGACGAGCGGAATAGGTGGGGTCCGAAACGCGAACGCACAGGTGTAAGGGCTTCGCGAAGTGGTGGGGGGATTCAACCAAGGGGAAGCGGTAGCGTGAGGGAAGCAAAAACTGAGCAGGTCAATACATGCGGCAGCAGCGTACTGCCTGGGATCGCCACAAGCTCACACCTTACCTCCGCAAGCCGCAAGGCTCACCATATCCCTCGATTGCTGCGCGTCACTCTCTACCTAAATCTTCCTCCGCCTCTACACCTCACACTCTTTCTCTCTGCACGTCTTTACGACTCACGGGGGGAGGGTCGACGCCATCGGGAATGGCGATGTCTCGGTTGCGCGAGAAGAGCTCCACCATGCCGTAGTTAAACTCCCGCGGCAGATCGTATACGTACACGCGCAACCGCCGCCCAAACGCCACGTTCACCGCCGCCGCCGCCTCCGCCGCAGCGCGCACTCTCGAAGACTTGAAGGACAACCTTGTGGCAGCCATTGAATTGGAGTCAAGGTCTGCACAGTGGTGCGAGTTAATGGGGCGTGGTGGGATGCGCATGTTATTAATTTTCTTACTAAAAAATTGGTGGCCTTTCGATCTCTAGCGATGTGTTGGATTTATTTATTTTATTATTGCTACTTTGTGTGGGGGGGGAGTCAAGTAAACAACTTTCTTTACCTGCTTTGCAGCTACTTTCCTAAGTCTTCTCCATATCAGCGATCGAGTGGAGAGGTGAAAGCGAACTAAAGCTTCCGCACGTCATCACTAATGATGTGAGACGTGTAGATACAAGTTTGACCCAAGTCGATCCGCACCTGAAGAGAGCGAGTCATCCGCCGTGTTGACGTCATTATCGCCCGCTGCTTCATCTCCCTCGGCAGCAGCGGCAACCTGCGGCACGGCCATGTCTCGTAGGCTTCGATGAGCTTTAAGGGACCACGCGTTGCTGCACGGCGCGAGAGAGAAGCCTCGCCCTAGCTGGTGAGTCACGAGTGAGGCAAGGAAAACGTCATGTGTGGATTGAGGAAGAACGAACAGATAGAAACGGAAAGCGAGAGACAAGGGTAGCCGATCTGCCAATCAACGAATGACTCCAGGTGCGGATGCCAGCGAAACAGGCGGACTCTCTAAAATCTCAAACAATCCGTCAATCCAATAATCACCAAAGGTGGTCAGGCGGTCTAGGAATATGTGGGAACTAAGCATTTGGAAAACAGATGATGCAATTCCAGTTGACAGCCAGAATTTAGAGTTCGTACCGGGTTGTACAAGCCGATTCCAACTACGACTGCTAGTAGAACGAGTAGCAGCACGAAGCCACGCAGGAACAGCAGCCAGCTACCCACGGCGAAATTTATCTTGCTTCTCGAGCACGCTACCGCAGCGTTACTGCTTCCGTTGCCGTTACATGGCGCTGAGCTAGGAGTCGTCGGTCGAGAAGCTCCAAAAGCTTTGAAGGTTCCTGGTGCGTGGCGCAGTGACATTTGAAGTAAATGGCAGAACCTTCGATCGCTTTCCGAAGTGTAAGCAAGCCTGAAGCGAGACCTCGGGCCTGGCCACCAGATAAGGTGCATCAACGGATTCTGCTCTAACGTGGTTTGACCTGCGGAGCCGATCCCACTGAACAGTTGTGCTTGACTGAGCAAGACAACGCCTTCAATATAGGTGCGAGTATGTGCGAGAACAAGAATAGCTAAAGTTCGCTCCGGTCTTCATGCGGGACTAATAACGCTGCGCTGGTTCTTAGAAAAAACTAAGAGTCTCCCTTTTGACACGAAGTACGTATACCTAGTTCACGACTTCAGACAGCATAGATTTTGGCAAATGAGAATCTGATACTGCCGAATTCCAAAACTGGATGAACGCGAGCAAAGCTGGAGTTTGGTTGGGGAGAAAAGCTAGTGAAAGCCAGTCTCTGGAGTTCTGTGGGCAACACGAACGCGTTTGTTTCTTCCCTGTACCTCACCGTCTCTCCCTCCCAACCAGCTGTGGGAAACAACTGGTGGGAAATCAAGGAGTTTCTGTCAGGGGCTCAGCCTGAAATGTGAAACAAACTGCGATTGGTGCAGGTGGCAGGCGGGCGGCGGAAAACTTTCAAGGGTAGCGCAAGCAGCAGCCTTGCCAACAAACGGCAAAATTCTGGAAGCGATTCGACGATTTCCATGGTGAGGATGGATTCCGAACCTTGATTGCAGGTTCTAGCGTACGCCCCCGCTCCCGAGCGAGCACCCCAAAGGTGCTGCGTGGGTTCGTTGGGTTGAATGGCATAGCTGAGCGCACTTCGTTCCAAACCGGTAGCTACGTCCCAGAACCAGGCGGAACCGTACTGAACGATAAGATGTGGGCCTGCTGTGTGTCGGCTTCGATTCTCGTCCGTTTCCTCGGCGTGTACTGTTCTGTCTGACCTTCTCAAACCCCGAGGCGCCTCGTCTTCACAAAAAAATACGCGCGGCTCCAAAAATGGCGGGAATCAGGCCTTGGTGGTGACGTGAGCAGTGGAAAGTCCACTGCAAGATATTCCAGGATAATTTGAAGGAAAAACTGAAGAAGGAGAATTAGTAAACGATATGGTGCTCTTGTGGTTAAAACCAATAGCAAAGTGAAGGAAGGTCCAACTTGGAAAAGTGTTGCGACTAGTTGCACAAACAGAAATTGTTCGGGCAGATACACAACTGTTTCAAACTTGCTCCGTACACTCATACATATTTTATGTAACCTTTGTAGACTAGATTGTGTTGCTCCATAAATAATACAGGATATTGCATAACCCCTTATATGCCCTCATCTAGTCATTCTTTCATCTGTTAACATGGTATCAGTTATGTTAGGTTTCTCACTTTCCCTCCACCTACCACCCTAGTTGCCACTCATACAATCGCGGCCCCTTCTAGCGGTCCTCTCTCTATCGCCTCGTCGCCGCCGCACTGCGGCCCCGTTTCTACCCCATCGCGGCCTTGCCCCTACCTTATCGCGACCACGCCGCTGAACCTGCAGCGTCCCGTTCCCGCACCTGCTGCCCCCGCGCCTGTCGCCTCGCCTGCCAAGCCCACGCCTGCCCACACCCACGCCTGCCATACCCCCGCCACGCCTGTCACGCCAGTCGTCACGTCTGCCGCGCCAGCACCTGGCATGCCCGCCGCCGTGCCCATGCTTGCCCATGGCCCGGGCCTGTTATGTTTGCGCCGCTGCCGCTCATGCTTGACGTGCCTACCGCCTCACGCGCTTCCGCGCCCCGCTCGCGCCTACCGTACCAGTCGTGCCTGCTGCTGCTCGACGCGGTCGCGCCTGCTATTGCTCCGCCTCACCGTGTCTGTTGCGGCTTGCCTCTGATTGCCTCACTGTCTCCTCCTCCCCTCTCATTTGCTGCAGCTGTACCCCTATTGACACCAATCCTGGAGTATGAGTTCGTACTGTGGCTCGATGATGAAGGATGGGCGATTGACTTTGACGCATGGTTGCTCGACATCAAGCTCCAATTACGGAGCCAGTGCCAGGACCGCGTTTTGTTAGAAGCTAGTGGGTAGGAATGATGTTGATTAGGTCAAAGGGGAGAGTACAAACCAAAGAGTCGAGAGAAATATTGTACCCTCTTACAAGCACCTCACGAGACAGAGGAGCGTTGAGGTGGCCGGTAGACAGAGGAGTGAACACAGGCGAGCGGGTGGACCTTCACGAGACAGAACCAGCGCCGAGGCTGAAGCTGTACCCCTGTGTAGACCGGTGAGTAGTCTTATCGTCAGCCCAAGAAGCGTCTGAGCGACTGGTGAGAACAACTGCACCCTGTCCTCCAAGCACAAGCCCCATGCCCGATGTACTGCACAAGCAACGCAGCACCCTCTTCGCAGCATCCCAGTGCACCTTTCGGTGTCTACCGGGAGCCACGAAGCGAGTAAGGAGGCTAAGAGGGTACGCGAGGTCACGTCATGTGCACGTCATCATGTACATGAGGCAACCCTCAAGCTCTGGGTACGGACCACTCGGCTCTACGGACTCCTCTGAAGGTGGCCGGTAGACAGAGGAGTGGACAGAGGCGAGGAGAATTGGAAGCCGAAGCGCTGAAGGACCTGCTGCACCATATGTGACTGAGTCAGGGTGATGGTGCGGCGTGCTCTGTCCCGGGTGACCTGCAAGCCAAGATAGCTCCGCAGCTAACCCAGGTCAGTGCAGGTGTGTCTCTCCTGCAGCTCCGCCTTCACTAGGGCCAGTGCCTCAGTGTCAGCAGTAGCAAAAACCAAGTCGTCGAGGTACACAAGAACGTAGAACGACCGCAGAGAAATGTCTGTACGCAGAAACAGTGAAGGGTCAGCAGTCGAGGGAGCAAAACCAAGAGCCGCAAGTGTAGTCCTCAGTGTGTCGTGCCACTCACGGGGCGCCTGACGCAGACCGTAGAGTGGTCGTAGGAGACTCCACTGGGGCCCCTCAGGAAACGACACAGTGAAGCCACGAGGGCGGCGCAACAAGATGGCCTCGTGAAGGCTGCCTTGCAAGAAAGCTGTCGAGAAGTCGAGGGAGTGCAGCTCGTAGTCGCGCTGTGCTGCAACGTGCAGTAATACCCGAAGAGTGGTCATCTTCGGGGTGGGGGAGAAGGTCTGGAAGAAGTCGACCCTCTCACGCTGACTGAAGCCTCGTGCAACGTAACGCGCCTTGAAGGCAGGCGGAGAACCCGGCGGCTGCTTCACCCTGAAAATCCACATGCCATCGACTATGTTCACCCCAGGTTGGGGAACTGCATCGACGTAGGTGCCTGTGGACTTCCAGGAAGCCATCTTTGCATCCATGGCTGTCTGCCACTGAGAGGAGTATGGACTCGTGATCGCGTTTGCGCAAGAACGCGGGGTCGAGATGTCCAATGCATCCGGGTCTCCCTCAAGGCAAAGTAGCATGGACGCGAGATGAGGTGAAGCGACCGCTAGGCACTCCAGCTCAAACTGCCTATCGTCAAGGACGTCACAACCAAGGGCAAGCTTACCCCCGATGGACGGAGGACAGGAAGACTAAAAAACAAGACTAGCAGCGTAATAAGGGCGACACAAAGCAGCAAAGTCAACAAGCTAAGCAACTAAGCAGACGCAGCAGCAGACTCAAAGGAAGGGCAAGTCACAACCGTGGCAAGGAGACGAGTGACGGTCGGACTGGAAGTACGGGCAAGGTCTAACTCAGGGTTAGGAACGTAAGGAATAGAAGACGCAGAAGGAGACGGTAAGACAACACGCTGTGGAACATGGGAAGGACGAAGTGCCATGATGTGTGTGCTAGGGACAGGTGGAGGACGAGGACGCACAGCACGGCGAGAACGGACAGGCGTGACAGGACGCGACGTAGGCTCTCTACACTCAATGAAGGACTCTGTCACCGCAGTGTGAGGAGCAGGAGTAGGTAGTGGGGAGCCAGCAGTAGCTGTGGCTGAGACTGGACAGTCGGTGGGAACAGTAACGGAGGAGTAGAACCAGCAACCTCAGTAGCAGCAGGCGGGAGACTGAGAAGGTGACGAAGCGCAGACTGCTGCGGCTGAGTAGTTGCACCCCCAGAACCTCCAGCTCTAGTAGCAACAGCACCCCCAAAACCAGTGCCTCCAGCTCCACCACCGGGACTGCCCTAACGGACAGCCCACTCGCGAAGCTGCTGCGGCGAGAGCGACTCCTGTTGACAAGCACCACCAACTCCAGTACCTCCAGTAGCACCTCCAGTGTCAGCACCGCCAGTACCCCCAACTCGCGGAACAACGGCACTAGCACCTACAGGGCCAGCACCTCCAGGACCTCCAACAACACCTGTGCCTCCAGTACCAGTACCTCCAGCTCGGCCAACTACAGGAACACCAATACTAGCACCTCCAGGGCTAGCACTTCCAGAAGCTCTAGCAGCACCTGTGCCTCTAGTAGTCCCAGCACCTCCAGCTCTAGCAG